CGTGCTGTCTGTGCCGTACCGTGGCGGGGCTGCGATGGAGGACGACGCGCCGGTGATATACGGGCTGGAGTTCCAGGTGGGTGCGGGGAAGACTGAAGGAAGGTTGGCAGGTGTTGGTCCTACCTCCGGGAAGGCGGTGGCTGCGGGGCTGGGCGCGCGTCGCGGGGTAGGGGAGTGCCGGGGCGGGCTGTGGGGCCCTCTCACAGGGAGACCGGGGGTCCCTCGGCCCACTGAGGCGGTACCGGTGGCACCACTGGTTCTTGCTGGTTCTTGGCACCTGCCTGTCGCGTTGGGGTTTTTGAAAGCGGCTGATCAGGGTGCAGGAGTTGGTCCCTGTTCCAAAAACTTGCTGTTTGCAGGACAGGTGTGCCAGTGTGGGTGGAGGGGCCCAGGGCAGGGGTCGTTCCCCTTTATGGTCGTGAGCAGCCCGGCTGGTGGGGCTCCTGCGCTGCCACCGGCCCCTGGTCCACTTCTGGAAGAATCTTCGTCTGCCAGCCTCAAAGAGGTTCTTGTACTTGTTTGTTCCTTTTCAGAAATTAAATATATGTATATATAAATGCTTCTGTGAGGAGAGGGCATGAAACTGTTTCCGATAAGTTGCAAATTTTATTTGGTTATACCCAACTGTAAAGCTACTGGATGTTTGTGGGATATCTTGCTGTGGGTTTCATGTGTGTGCATTTGTTCCATAGGACAAGTCTGTCCATCATATTAGTGGCTATAAGGAAATGGGACTATTGTTGGGCTGCCTAACTTAGGAACTTATTGATCATCTTCAGAGTAACACAGGTCTTGCATTTAATAAAGTTTTTACAAGTTCTGGGAAAATAAACAGCTAGGTAGCTGGATGGGTGAGAGAGACCTTAGTTTATGATGTGTTCCTACATTAAGGGTTTTATACAGCTGTTACGTGTTCTCTTTAGCAACAGCTGGCTTATCATCGTTGCCATTACAGCAGTAATAGGAGGCGCTGTGTTTCTTCTGCAGTTCACAGAGCAATGTTTTCATTCTACACTGGATGTATAATATAAATATGTACACATCCACTTTTTTTTTAGTCATCTTTACCAAGTGCTTGTGGAAAGTAATATATTAAGGTTCTTTGTAACAGATTTGGGTGTCCTAGCTACTGAGTTGCGTGCTCTGTAATACTGACTATACCAATAGATCTCTTAAGCAAATTCTGTATTTGTTTGGTTTTCCTCTTATATAGGCGCCAGTATGTAATATTCACCTGTACTAAATGTTAAATCTACTGAAGTGTGATGATACGCTATCATTTTGTGATTGGCTAGAGATGGCTGTAACTTGTACTTCAAAATTAATAAAACTTGAACTTATATTCTATTCTACAAAATAGATTTAAGTATATATCCTGTACTTAATAGATTGTATAGTTTTTTTTTCTAATAGGTCATATATAATAAGTCTTCCAGACTTTTGGAAAGCTAGCCTCTGTGTTGTCCGGGAACCCCATGGATCTATGCCCTCCTGCCCCTCCCCAAATCATGCATCTGTACAGACCTTCTCTCTTTTTCTGCAAAGTATGTAACAGCGCTGTCTGGTGGGAGGATAAAGCAAAAGGGCTGAGAGAGTGGGTGTAATCAAAGGGAATTATGGTTAATATAGATTGTTTAGAGAGAAGGTGGGGAAAGAAAAGATGGTTTATGGCTAAGTCGGAAAAGGAACATAGAGATGAATGTTCTATTTCTTATCTCCATTAACTGCTAGAGTGGCTTTAAAACAAATTGCATCTCTGTACTTCCTGAAAAAGGCTGTGATGGAGACTTAAACAAAAAACTGGTACGTTTTTTCTAACTTGCATCTCTAGGTCTAGCAAGAAAGATTGTTTTTCATTTTAAGCCTGGCTTCTTGTATGTTGCTAGATAATAATGGTTAGCTGCACCATCACAACTACTGCTTTTTTCCGAGTGTTTTGTCAGAAACACCGTGACTGAAAGCATCTCTTCAGACGAATTTTTCAGCCTTGTTTGAAGAATTTTGTTGTTTCTTTTTTATTTCCAATCTTTACTTCAGCTCTATGACAAACTTATTCAAAGTTGAGGTTTGAAATGATAAACTATTTAAAAAGAGAGAGGGATCCTCTTTCTCTTGTTATGAATTAAAAATTTTATGTCACAAAACCATGACACCTAGAAGCTACATGAGGGATTGTAGTCTAAGAAGCTACATGTGGCTCCAGCAGTCAATAAGAATCTCTGTCTTTGGCCACTGCCAGAGAAATTGTGCAGATATGCCTTTCATCCGATCCAATGCAGCCAGCTTTATAAGAACATGAAGCTGATTCCTCCTCGGGTGCTATCTACCAACTAACTTCAAATTATTTCTGCACAGTTTCTTTTCATTTTTATATGCAAAATGTGTTTTGATGTATCAACATAAGTAAGATAACTTAGAATAATGAGCAAATACATATTTCTCTCTTTTGAGTCCAGTTTTTGTCAAAAAAAGGCTTAGCAGAACAGTGAAGTCTTACTTAGAAGAACCACATTGCTCACACTTCTAACATATTAGAATGGAAGTTAAAGATACAAATCCTGAACCCTTATACAACTGTGTTTAATTACTTTGCATGTGTAACTACTGTGCAGAAAACTTTACCTAGTAACATTGAGTAATAGTTTTGGGTTTTTTTTATCTGGGGTGGGGGGGGGGGGGAGGGGGGACTAAACATCTAACAGAAAACCAAGATTAAAACTAGTGATGATTTCAGTGTTCTGCATGATTAGTTGAATTTTTGACCTGATTAGTTCCCCCTGTTTTACGAGATGTCTGCAACTCTTTCGGCTGTTTATAACATCCATATAACCCAAAAAAAGTAGTTTCCCAGATTGGGGTTTTTGACTCTTCGGTGTATCTGTGAGCTATATTAACAATGTACAGACATAGAAAATATATGTGAATTTTAGGGTGTGTGATTCTTTCTGTGACTACTTTTTTTTGAAGACAGTATCCCACCATAGTTGCTCTGATCATCCAAGTGTAGTGAAAATGAGAAAATTACAGAGGAACAGGTGGTGAGTGAAAATGTGAGATGCTGCTTGAGTTGAGGACTGAGTGATGTGACTGTGGATTATGATGATGAACACGAGGAAATGGCAGTAGCTGCAGGGTATTTCAATACTGAAGGGTGGTTGTTCTAAAATGAGTCTTGGTAGACTTCACCAATATCCTGAATTATGAGAATGTGATAAGTGGGGTCCCAGGGGTATCTCAAAGTGCTATTTTTTATCAGTGAAATTATATGCTTCTTACGTGTCCAGTGTAGAGTTGACCTGGAGTACACGGTATGTTTAACTCTGTGTTGAATAGGATTCATTTTCAAGTACTCACAATTTTCACCATCCTATTCTTTGTGTGTTTAAACAGTGATGTTTTGAGTAGGTATGTAAGTGCTACTGAATGTCTGGAAATACTGTACTGGCCTTAGTTCAGGGTTGACTGGATCATGCTTATACCCCTGGAAATGAGCTCTGTGGAGGGGTGCTTTCCAGGAGAGGTACTTGGCTTACTTGCAATGCCGACTGTGATTCCTGGGGGGACAGCCTACATCTCATTTGTTTAAAAGCATGCAGAAACTAGCCAGCTTCATGGGGGGAGGGAGGAGGAACATTGCTTGTTCCAGAGAGTGATAATTATGGAGCATGTGTTTGGCACATTTAATTGATTTTGGGGATACCATAATACTGAGATGAATTTCAGCATGCCAGATATTCCTACTGCGTGTTATATGTCAAAAATACACAGACTCATGCAAGGAAGAAGCATAATGAGCAGGAGGCATGGACAGTAGAAAGCCTGCTGGCTGACTGCAGGGCCATACTACACAAGGGCAGCTCCAGCTGCACCTTGAGGTGGGGTCTGGCTGAAGTAGGTTTAGAAAAAGCACGCTAATGCTTTGTCAGAGTTTGTGTACTGTATTGTGGTCCTGCCATGCTTATTGAATAAGCAATACTTGGCCCATATTGTATTGTCAGCTAGTTGCTAACAGGTTTTAATCAATCTGAACAGAGACTACTGATTTTTAGGACTTTGTGTGTTTGCAAGAGTAAGGTGAAACTTAATTTCCATAAAGCCAAATGTAACTTCTTATTCTAAGAATCTGAAAACAATGCAAAATACCAACTGAAATAGATGGGTTACAGGTCTCATACAATGTGTATATATGTATAATATCAGTATGTATTGCGAATAGCTCAATTGACCTACCTTTGATCAAGTAGAAGGCAGGTGAAGATTTATTGGAAGGATGGGGAAAAGGGGACTTTGTAGAATGGTGTGTGTTACTTGTGCAGTAGTCTGGGAAACCTGTGCTCCCAGTATGGGAGTGGAGCAAATGCAGAGACTATAGCTCCTCCTGGCAGTGGAGTTCTCTTCCCTGGGAGAGCTTTTTTGCTCTCTTGTGGGATGAGACAGAAAGGTCTAAGCAGAATGAAAGATCTAATTTTGATATAGCTTTAAAGATGTCTTTGAAGAATTTATTTTGAAAATTGAGCCAGTTCAAGAAACTGCATGATAATGTCTTAATGAAATTCCAAGTTTTTGTCTCGGTCCTCTTTCTTTTCTAAGATTACTTGCCCCGTAAGTGCCAGTCCTGTGTATTTTATTCCAGGCTGAGTGTCTCTTCTCTCACTTGTTTTCCTACCTGCCTCTCCAGCACCCTTCTTGAGAGCAGCATCTCAGTTGGGAGGACCTCTTGTGGAACTTCAATCTAACATGTTGTTAGCTTTAGAGTTCTACTGAGGGGAAAAAATAGCTAAGTGGCAAAACTCTCTTAACTAATCCCTCAAGGATCTTCATTCCACATGAAGTAGATCAGGTGGAAGCTATTTCTTTTAGGATCCTCAAGCAATTAGCAGGATCTTGGTAATGTTAGGTATGATACAAACTAATGAGAAAATGAAAACACGGTTATATGAACTTGAAGGAAAAAGATGATTGTGACCATTATGATTCACGAGAAATGAACAGTGACAGTGTGAAAGTGGGATTTCTAAGGATGATTGTGCTGTGCAAGGTTTTGTGTGATGGTTGCTTTTGTTACTGTGAGGGTTT